CTCTCTCTCTCTCTCTCTCTCTCTCTCTCTCTCTCTCTCTCTCTCTTTCTTTGAGTATCTGAACATACATTTCGCTTTGAATATATTTATATATATATATATTCTTTTTAATTTTTTTTTCAAATTTTTAGAAAATTTGAAAAAAAATTAAGAACCTAAGCAAGAATTAAGAAAAACTACTTACTTTCCAAAATTACGTGTTCCTTGAATTTCTCTCATGCTACTGCAGATAGAAATTCAGATCGATAGATATTCGTTAATAATTTCAAGCGATTTACGACTCTGCGGCTAATTTCACCCGTTTTTAATTCTGCATATTAGCACACTTTTTACAACCACTATTATTATATTATCATATTATATTGTATTATATACGCAATGTATAGTGAAACAATGAGGTACAAATTCGTAAGAAATTATTGCTGACAATAGCGTCTGTAAATAATTAACATAATATGGAATACAATCGAGAACCATGTCCCTGGAGGATAGTGGACGATTGTGGAGGTGCCTTCACCATGGGTGCCATTTGTGGCACGCTTTTCCAAGTAACTCTTTCCCAAACGTAATAGAGAGCTTACCACGAAACTATAAATTTGTTAACAATTAGATATTAAATTTGAGGAATACTAGATCCATCTATGTGTAAATCGAAATTATAAACGATAGTGATGGTTTTCCTTTTGAGCACAGAGTGTCATCGGTTTCCGGAACGCGCCATCAGGATTCCAGCGACGTCTCCACGGAGGTCTAACGAACGTGAAAAACCGCGTTCCACAAATTTCTGGCAACTTCGCTGTCTGGGGCGGTCTCTTCTCCGCCATCGAGTGCACGTTGATCCGCTGGCGTCACAAGGAGGATCCATGGAACTCTATATTAAGCGGAGCACTCACAGGAGGTGTTCTGGCCTCGAGAACCGGAATTATATCGATGATTGGAAGCGCCACTGTCGGCGGTATTTTCCTAGCTTTGATCGAAGGTAAAGATCACTATCAAACTTCAGATAATTAAAGTAATATAGATTAGGTAAATAAATTGAAAGTTGCTTTATCTTACTCCGTACTTCGTAGATCTTTGGACCATGAAATTCTTGATTATAATTTAAATTTAAAAATGTGGAGTAGTCGGTTGTTTGGAGAATTCATAGCTTAAATGATCAGACTTGGATTTCGAATTTTTCTTCCTATTGTATTAAATCTTTGTAAATCTTTCTCCAGCTTTCGTGAAAGATAAATTCAAGCAAATTAATTCTAAATACTATACATAATAAATTAGCAATTCAAGCAAATTAATTCTAAATACTATACATAATAGATTCAAGCAAATTAATTCTAAATACGATACTAAAAAATATACATAGAACGCTTTAAAAATTCCTAGAAATTTCTAAAATTTTCTATTCTATTGGCTATTCTGAAAGAAAGCTCCACAGAAATTTTCTCAATTTAGTTTCACCGCGAGAATTTGACGAATAACTGATCTTTCCCTCGGTCCTCGATTAAAGGATTTGGAATAATAGCGACGAGACTTCACGCAGATTCTTTCGCTCAACACACGCGCTTGTACGAGATGGAGAACCTTCCGGACTTCAGTGGACTTCCGCCGAAAGCAAGATTAGGCTTCAGCGGCGCACCAGCCAGCGTCGAAGTACCAATTCAGGCGAATAGCAATAACGTGGAGGTTGATGTGATTGCAGGTAGATGAAGAAGACTCTCTCTCTCTCTCTCTCTTCATTTTTTCAATTTTTGTACGTATTTTGTTTTCTAAGAGTGTTTTTTTAGAGCTGGTTTCGAGGTATAGCGTTCAATTTTTGTATCTACATTTTGTGAAAGAAATTCCTTGTAATGTTGGAAGCGTTTACAGCGGCGAGGAACGCTTGATTTGGGTTTTAAGATGGGAAACTTTGCGATGAAGCGAGGGAACGAGTTACGCGAGAAGCAATTTACTTGTGATGTAAATATCTCGTTCTGTTTTTGAATGCCGAAAGCACGAGATATCTAATTTGTAACTAGATTTTTATCTTATCACCATTGAAAGAACTGTATATATTTTATATAGATTATGTTGAACCGATGTTTGAATATAATTTTGAATAAAATTTATTCGCTTCAACGTGTAATAATTTTCAACATTATTCGGATATTAAATTATCTATAAGGGACTGCAGATTATTATACAGACTCTAATATGTGATAAATTAAGCAATTTCATATTCGTAGAAAAAATTCATTCGCAACCTAATCAGCAATACAAATTTGTCAAATCACGCACTTTCAATTTTTCCCACCCGGGAGAAACAAACCGGCATCATTCTCCCCGTCTTATATCTGTGTGCTACAATTAAAGAACGACCGTGGACTGCCGGATCGGCCACGATAATCCAATTGCGAATTATCCACGGCTCGAATAGAGAAGCTTTCACGCGCGTGCACCGACATATCTCCATCGTTATCCAGTCGAACACGCTACAATAACGATCGACGAATTTTCATATTGTTCAACGCTCGCCCCAACCTGGGCGCCCTGGATCGAGCAACCCTCTTCGAACGCGTGAAAAATCGTTTAGAAGCGTACCAGTGATCACGACTCTCTTCGAGTACCTTTTAAAAAAGGAGAATGATTAACAAATTGCGAATATTCGTGCGTTTGTGGGAAATTTAAAATTTGTAAAAAAGCGGAACAAGAGTTCTATGTAGATTCTACTTACTAAACTCTAAATTGAAACATCCATGGTCGTTTTTACTAATTATATCGCTAATTCGTTGTAACGACTGAAAAATCATATAAACTGTAATTTTGTAGTATCCAAGTAGATTATTATTTATAGTTTTCAACAAGCACAGTCCGTGTTTAACATGTTCCAAGGAGTCAAAAATAGATATATTAATCTTTTAGAAATGAATGATTTTATGAAATTGTCAAATTAGAGTTTATGAAACTTGTAAACGGGCTATCAGCCTGTCAGAAGACATCTTATTTCTACAAATTCCCAGGTAAATTTCAAAAGATAGCGACACTACAAGTGCTTCCTGACAATTGCTTCAAACAACTTGGCTTCCAAGGGTGAAAGAAATTGAGAAATCGTTATCAGCCACACAAAGAAAAAAATAGTCTTTCCCGAGGACGCAGAGTGTTTCAGGTGGGTTGGGAAAAAGACTGGTCAGCAGCGAGATCGCATACGGGACCCTTTTCCAAGCGAAATTTTTCAGTAAAACGGCCGGCTGACTGTGCTGACTCAATCAAGAAAGGGTTGGAAGGATCGGCTGAGCCTCTGGTAATCCACAGCTTACATGGGCTTGAGTGTAAATATTGATTCCAATCTGGTGACGGCGACAATGGGACTGCAAGAGGCAGGATGGTTCATGATGGTCGAAGCGCGAGCTGCTGTCAAAACAATCATTACCACCTTGCAATAAACGATCTGCTCCTCTTCCAGCTTATCTGGAGGATCTGTGTTCGTTTGCTTGACAAAGAAGAGATGCTGATAATAAATTATAGAAGAATTACAGACGAACGTGTGTTATAGTTCTTCAGGTGTCTTCTTTCTTTTTCAATAGACTGCAAATTTTACAGTTCTTAGAATGTAATTTAAAAAATAGAAACTTTATAGAACATTGTTTTACCTGCTGACACTATACTTTGGCTATTCTATATATTTGTATATTTCTTCGTATACTGTGCATTGCATACCATTTTTTTAATTAATATTTCCAATTCCGATGGAAACTTGCACTTTTCAGAATGTAATTCAAAAAATTTTCATAAAGCTCCAAAGTTTATTGAGTGTTTATTGAGAGTAAAGAGTTTCCTGAATTTAAAGTATAAAAGTCTATATTAATACTTAATAGCTGAAAAAAGATCTCTTCGTACGAACCGGATTGCATATAAATTCGCGCTTTAATAATTAGTATAATTAAAAAAAAATTTACTTTAATCTGATACACGCAATTTTTATAGGTTATTGTTGCAAGAATATTCCGTTTATCAATATTATATCGTTGACAATTTATCACCGATACAAGGTTAATTATTACCTTCCTAACATCACCCAGCTGTAATTAGGAAGATGTAATTGTCAAAATTTAAAAATTAATCCTTTTAATTAAATTTTTTTGCAAATCAAAATTTCATCGATTTATAGACATCGAAATGCTAGCGTCGCGTAGCGGTAGAAAGATGGAACTAAAATCTGTTGCTCTCCTTGTCTAACACTGTTCCCTCCTTATTTACCACGCGTGTAAGTCTGTCCTAGTCGCACACTGTTGCCTTCCTTGTTTACCGCGTGCATATGTCTGTCCTAGTCGCACAGTATTGCTTTCCTTGTTTAACGCGCGTATATGTCTGTCCTCGTCGCACGCTATTGCCTTCCTTGTCCATCATTAGACAAAGAGGACAGTAGCGTGCGACAAGGACAGATACACACGCGCGACAGACAAGGAAAGAAACAGTGTGCGACAAGGACATCCTTTGATCTATTGAAAGAAAAATTCAAGTTTTTACACTTTT